TTGCACCTTTTCCATCTGACCACAGAAAATCTGCAGATAATTGTAAGGTGTATGGCCAGCTTTATAGTTTAATTCCTTTTTAACCTCAATAGTTCTGACAAGGTAATATCTTTCCTAAATTTACTTAGTGTATATTGCATATTATTGAAAAGATTCTGGATTTTGTTTGAGTTTTGTATATTTCCACAGGTCTGAAACATTTTAATTTAGTGAAATATGTTGCACCATGCCTTCACCTGACACTATAACATCCTATGCCGAGGCTCATGTGACCTTTCTACAATTCCAGTCCCAACTAAATTAATATAATTGATATGTGCACACTACTGCCTAATGCAGTGCAGCATTTTGCTAAAAGTTAAGATGAAGTGGGTGAATACACTGCTTGCACCAATCTTACCTGTAAGATAGCTTTCATATGCTTGCTAAATGCCATATTCAAAATCATGTCATACACCTCCAGTGACTTGTAGAAAGTCTTGTATACAAGAATCATAGTTTTATCACAGGTGGCAGCAGCAATGTGATGGACACATCATTTTTCTTAAAACTAAAATAAATCAACTAACGAAAGAAGCCGTCATAACAATCTTCTTTCTGTCCCCAGGATCCTTAAATCAAACAAAGTGTGTTGATGAAAACAAGTCCTTTGCTCCTTACTTTGATTGATTAAGCAAAGTAATTCCTTACTTGGCAAAGCTGATTAATCACTTTACTAAAGGTGGCCATACACTTTACAACCATCGCAAGACCTTAGTCTTGCGATGGTTGTAAAGTAATTAAAAAAACGTACGATCTGCCCATCTTGAACAGGCAGATCGTACTCTCGATCATCGCAAGACCACCCCCCTGAGGGGCGGGCTTCCAATGACCGCAATGCTGAACGGGCAGTGTGTGCGTGCGCACACCGGCCCATTCGGCATTTGTCTCCCGAGCACCGTTCAAACCAGCCGAAAATCGTATGATTTTCGGCTGGTTTTCTAGCGTGCTCCCTAGACAAAAGACGTGCGACCGTACAGTAAAAACGGTTGCACGTCTTCCATACATTTTGCGATTATCGTACGATCGTGGGATTTCCTGCAATTATCTTGCGATAATCGCACAGTGTATGGGCACCTTAACTCTCTGGTGTTTGTCAACAGAAGAGATTCTGCAATTTTGCACAGACTATAAAATGACTTGTTTACAAGGTACACTTTAAAGCAGACAGAGGGTTAGTGAGATATATTTGTAGTGATTACCAAAGCCTATGACAATAATATCTAGTTTATGAATAAAATGAGAACTCAGCTATTTTTCAACATTTATTTGTCCTTCTATGTAAAATATATAACACTTTGTGATGCCTTTTGTCCCATTATACTAAACAATATTTGTGATGTATCAAAGAGAGATACATTGTTGCAAACAGACTATTACCTCTGTAAAAACAAAACAAAACAAACAAACAAACAAAAAACACTTAAGGCCACATACATAATTTGGGGGCCAGTTATGGGCACTGCATTTGAAAGAAAAGGCAAAAGAGTTTAGTTGTGTGTACAGTTAGTAAAAGAAATGGAAAATCTTACTTAAAACGGAAAATTAAAAAAAAGTGTGTAGTTTGTGAAAAAATACACCTTAGAGGTAACTTAATTATTATTTATAAATATAATGAATGACATTATAAACATTTGGCAAATTAACCTTTTATCCTAAGAACTGTCGAAAGGCCAAGGGAACATAAGTGACATAAGATTTTACAATCAGCTACAGTAGACTTTGTAGTAAAATGCAAGGTTTGCTTATACTGTTTAGTCTCCCTCCCCTGTAAAAATTACTTACTTTTAGTAGGTGTAAAAGGTACCTGTAAAGAAAAATTATTTATACCTTACCCCATGTCTTCTGCCCATGGCGCGTAGGTGATGGCGACATCACACTTAAATCTGGCTAGATCACGGGGAATACATAGCAGCTGAAATCTCGTAAGAAGATGCTCTGTCAATAAATTGGAGTATCTTCTCCTGAGATTTCATCTGTTCTGCAATCCCCAAGAATCTTCCCGGAGGGATGATGATATCACATCCAGCAATGCAGAAGATGGGGGTAAGGGAATTAGAAATGTAACTTCTTTCTTTACAGGTAACCTTTTCACCTACTAACAGCAGATGACTTTTACAAAGCGAAGGAGCGCAGTCCAACACTGCTGATGTGAATGAGCTCTAAATATTTGGTTGAAATGTCTAATTTTGTCACCTTCAGTTTTCATAACACTCCTCTTTTTTAGACATTGATTCAAAACTCTTGTAATTATTAAATGCTTACTTTCATGTGTAAAAACCTACCATATTTATAGTACCCATAGGCATAAGATCACAGTTGTCCAATACAGCATGATAATAGTACGTCTATAAAGGTTCTTTTGATGCCACCAGCAATCTTGGTTAGGAAACCATGTCCACGGAAAGGATGGTTAGGCAGCAAGGAAGCTTAGAAAACATCTTAAAATAGTTACAGCATTCATGCACATTATCTTCTGATATCTACAGGCTGCTCCACATCTTGAGAGATGAATTCGGTAACTATTTTTCATATTTAAACTATCAAAATTAATATATAATGAACCAATATAACATATTAGTATGTGTAAAAAGAGTACGTTGGTCAAGGTCATCTTCCAAGAACTGTTACTGCAGTTTTCATCCCATTGTATTAGAAGCATGGCACTTCTGACAGGGTAGGACCTTTTCTGTTTAGTCTTCTTCCCTGTCATTAGAGTATTCAAGCAGTCTTAAAGATAACCCTTTGACCTTCTGTTCCATCATGAGATTTAAGGAAATGTCGGTCATAAATTAGTTTAGTTCAGTGGCAAGAATCTAAAGCAAAGGGATGCTGGATTCTGTTTGCTCTTTCTGGCAGCACACAGTCTGTGCAGAATAACAAGAGTGTTATGTAAAATGAAATACAGATTGTAATCACAATTAAATATACAGCATACAAAAGCAGTTCAAAATGCATGTATTACAATGCAACTTACATTCAAGTAATTTATTTTACAACTTGTATTTAGAAAGACACACTATAGGGTCCTGTGACCCAATTTTTACGACTCACTTGCTGGTTTTCAGTGGTCCGACAGAGTTCCAGACATGTATAATAGTATAAATAGTATAATTCTAGATAATTGGTTGCATACAATCTGTAATCTATGTCTGCCTTCTTTCTTCTTATTCCTAGCCAGATTTCTGCAGCCTGTTTCCATTTATAAAGCAACCACTGACACAATAGGATAGATATTATACTTCTTTGGTGGCCAGCCCTTATTAGTCGTGATTTAGTTCATGTGAATGTGTTAATGAATACTTATATGTAAGCGTATTTGCTGCATGTGTGTGTTTCTGTGTATAAATGTTATATATATATATATGACACAAGGACATATGTCACATATATAGAGTGTGCTCCTCCCTATGTTCTAAGTAAATTAAATCTCTGCATAGATAGAAGTTTGAAGCTTTATGTTTTTTTCACTCCATAGTTTGGTTTATAATACATTAATGAATCCAGTTTCTGGTTCCAGTTGTCATCATTAGTCAACATGTAATGCACTGCCCATACATCAACATATTATTGCAGGTGTTGATAAGTAAATGCTATCATAACTGTTCAAGTGTGATGACAATTTTCTTTCCTTCCCAACAAAAATCTCTAAGGAGATTGTCAAAAGCTTCATTCTCTGCATTCATTTTTTTTAACTAAATATAAAGATTTCTAAACAGCTGTTATTTATGTAGACAGTTTAATGTTAAGATTTCTGAACCCTACTGGTATTTTTTCAATACTATGAATAAAATGCATAAGGAAATCTCTCTCACAGATATGGCTTCAATAATATCACTGAGGCCAAAATAACAAGAATTGATCCTGTGCTCACACAAGGCAATACAGAACACTTAGTTTAGTGTAGTAAAGTAGCCTTGATATTATTACAACACAACTTGGAACTTCAGTTCACTTCAACACAAAGGATAAGGTGTAAAATTTCAGTAGATGTGATAATTTAGTATATGAAATGGCAAAAATAGTAGGGCATTTTTGTAGAACTGGAGGGTGAAGTATGAGTGTGCTACAGGCTTTAAATCCAAGAATGAGAGATCTAAATCTTATGATGCTGCAAATAAATGCTAGTAGAAGAAAATATTTAGTGTCTTTTAAATATGCTTTTACATCTAGTAGCTCTATTTAGCCTTTTATAATTTAATCTAAACCTTATTTTGTGCTAACTAGACAATTCCTGGGGTATTAGCCTGGCACACTTGCTGCAGATATACTGTAAGCTGTATAGTGGAGCTAACATCAACAAAGTATATTAGGATACTTTATTTGTGTGTCTGAATTCCAGTTTAGAAGAAGCAGCACTTCCATTCATAACGACTGACTCATTTTCAGGCTATCAGTTGCTGAACTAAATGTTAGCTTCTTCCCCATTGTCAACAGAAAACATTATGTTTACCACAAACTGTTTTCTATCCATTAGCTGGTTTGCACAATCACATTGAAATGTGTGTAACCACATTAGATAATAAAATTAATCAGAGTACTCAACATCTACAGCATGTTACAAGTATGAAGAAGCAAATAAATTACAACTGTTTTGATACTTAGATATCACAATAAATACCTAGGGCTCTTTAATGCACTCTACAGCATAAATTGCTACAGGATGGTACATCCGACATGGCATAATCATCATGTAGTATATTTTGAATGAACAAGCTCTTATATGGTCAAGAAAGTTCTTGGTACTTCACCAAAAATATTGAATTTTCTGGCCAAAGCAGTCTGCTTTTGTGTTTCTTCAGAACTAGAACAATGGATAAGCGCACAACTACTTGATGGTCACTATGTGGAGAAAATGTGACCTGGGATGTTCGGTGTGCAAGCTCCTTATATTTGTGTTTCTTCAGTTATTTTCAGGGGAACAAAATTTACTACAGTGTGTTACTATGCATAGGAAAAAACCTTTAAAAAATGCCAGATGTCATGGGTGTGGTGTTCAAAACCTGTTTGGGCTCACTGGGTATGATGGGAATAGTATCTGAAATTGTCACCTCCAACTCACTGTCCTGGTCTTCAAGAATGCCTTCCTCCAAGGGGATGATTTTAATAACCTTTTCCTCAAAGTGAACCTGTTTCTTTTTAGCACATAAGTCTATAGAAGCATCCATGCGACCTTGGTCTTTCTTAGATGGTTGGCGGTCCTTCTTTACTTTGAGGATGCTTCTCATATGGGTGAGTAGAGATTCTCTCTTCTGGCGCAGGGAGTCATTGAAAGTGTAAGTTTGCTCTGTGTCTCCAGCTCTGGTCATAGCAATGGCTGTGGTAGATGGGTCTGTGTAATATTCAGCCTGCAAAACGCAATCCTTGCTCTTAGTCTTCTTTCGTTTACTCAAAAAAAGATAGGCAATCCCAGTAACAATTAACATGGTTCCTGCAAGTAAGAATAAGGAATCAGGATTAGCCTTAATAACTAAAACATTTTACATTCTAGCCATTGTTTTTCACCAACATTTCCTCCCTTACATCTATATAAACTATTAGTGATGTGTTTTATCAGATTACATTATTCTACAACTCTGTCTGCAGTTCATACCTGTACTGGATTAGCACCAGTTGTGTGTAATCAGGAACTCTGTCCTTGCAAAGAACTTTGCATATGGCAGTCTGGGAAGTAAAAATGTGTGGGGCTCCTAAAGGGGATGTGCCCAAATATGAAGGAAAACATTGGCTGCAACTTAAAAGATGTTAAATTACATTCATGATGCAAATTTGAATCTTCTTTTGATTAGTTCAATGCCACAATGATTGCCCTGAGTATAATCAGTGCAATTAATATCTGAGACTACTGTGATAAATGCACAAATCACAAAATGGTAGCAGAATAGATGAAGAATTAGATTTTACACATAAGGAACTCGCTTCAAACAGTAGAGCATTAAGGACACTTCCACTCACTTAGATCTTCTTTTTAGGGCTTCTTTTCCCACTTTAATTGACTCAAAAACCCAAAGGCCCACACAGGTTTACCCTCAGAGGGGTTTTCCAACATAATGTGGACACAGTACTTGCAAAAAGAAAACACCTTCAGGCCCCTGGCTTTTACTTTCAGCGTCACAGCGAAGTCCTGACTGTTTCTCTCAGAGTCACACAGGTACTTTCTTCAACCTACTGGTCACACAGGCTGGTTCCAGGGTAGAACCTTCCTGACTCCTGCACAGAGACCTCCTCTGTCTCTCAGGTGGAACCACTCAATTAGCAGGCTGGGGGAGAGCTTATGGAGGCCCTATTGAGCCAGCTTGCTTCAGCTGAGCTTGTTACCCCCAAACCTCCTGCCCTCTCACCACTTTCTCCTAGAGGAAGAACTTCAGTATTACACCTGAAACTGGGCCTCCATCTCATCAACCAACAATCTATTTAATTTACACAATACAGTGTATAACATCCATATACTGTAATCTAATTGATAAATATAATTGGATTTATGGAAATGGGCATTGGTATGGAAGTAATTCTAGCCAGTGATACCTTTTAAGTTATATGCATTGAAATATATACTACTCTTGATCCAGAGCTACTTTTTATCATGTGTATGAATTTTCTGATAATGGTAAATAAAAAATCTATCTTTCTTGGCATAAGACATCCTGAAAAGTCAATTAATTTCTTTTAGGACTCTGCGGATAGCAGAACGATAGCTGGAACCAGAGCCATCACTTTCTGATCCATAGTGCATAACTGGAAACAGTTATGAGGGTTCCAAGATGAATAGAAAAATAATATCTGAGACGCAGGGGGTAATATTCCCTTTCCAGCCCCTTTGATCTGATTGGCTGATCTCAGGGGGTGAAAACAGTTTTTTGATCTTCACAAGTATAATAATATAATATGATAATGGAGAACCAAAGCCAGCAAATTGTCACATTCAAGGGGTCCATGCACACATGGGAGTGTGTCCACGTTTCTCTATCCAACCCCGGAAGCAGGATTAAGCATGATCTCTGTAAGTTTTATCCCGTTTTATTTTATACTGTTGCTTGTATGTATGTGTGTCTCACTTTTTGTAACATCTGCTTTTTGTAACTTTTTTGTAATTATCTTTTTTTTATGCACTGCCCATCTAGGGTTATTAAATATAAAATAATAAGCTGGTTTTTGATTGCTCTAAAAGAACGCACGAATCTGAAGAGACTGTTGTTTGTGTTGTATGTGTATAGTCGATTGATTGTATCATCGGTGCCTTGAAGCTCGGTTGTAAGTCATTGGCAGGCAGGGATCTGTGTGTCTGATGTGGGTGTGTGTGGGCAGTGGAAGAAGTGGGTACGCCAAGATTCTAGCTTAGAGGATAGCTTAGGGGATCTTAGTGGGCGTGAGGAGACCACTTAGGCTGCCACACAACCATTAGAGTAGACTAGATTGTATGCAAGATTTGCATCTGCATGGGTCCAGGGAACTACAAGTCCCAACGTGCCCTCATTGTCCTTGTACACCCCCACATATAAATCACCCAGGGAACTACAAGTTCCAGCATGCAAGCCCCCTGCAGTAGTTCACTGGGTGATATGTGAGAGGTGTACAGGGACAGTGAGTACATGCTGGGACTTGTAGTCCCCTGTATGACTAGAAGGCTGTTTTAATTAATTCCTCATGAAAATACTAGTAATACAATGGCATTATAGTGCAGTAATTTTCAAGTTCAACTATATTCTATTCTATGTTTCTATAATGGCATTGTATTACTAGTACTTTCATGAGGACAGTAATTAAAACAGCCTTCTATCATACATGGAACTACAAGTCCCAGCTGAACTGCTGACGTGTAGTTTTCTAGTAATACAATGTCATTATAGAACATGGAATAGAATATAGTCAGTTCCAAATTCAACATTCGCATAAAGGCTGCCGTTGTCCCCAGCAAGCATGGGACCTCATGCACTCGCTTCAGTTTAAAAATGTAAAGTGCCAGTATCTGTGTTTAGTATCAGGGCATTTCACGAAAACGAGTACTCATGAAAATGCCCCTTGTAATGCTTCACCCAGGGCACATGCCCCCCTGCCCCCCCCCCCCCAGATTTGGCCCTGCTTATGCTGAAAATCTCATTACATTTGTGTTGAATTTACATACTAAATTAAAAGGATTAGAACTATGAGGTGAGTGAAAAGCACTCACCTCATAGTTCTCCTTTTAAGAGGATGTGGTGTCAGAATTTCCTAAATCAGTGACAATGTAAATGTTTTCATCTTTGCTGATAAAGCAAACTGTTATGGAACTCTATAACCCTAACTCTGTTAGGCTAACTCAAAAGTTTGTCTTTCAATTAAAAAAAGCCTAACTATGCACTCCTGTGACTGGTAAATTAAACATGGGCAAATATTCACTGTGGAGTAAAGTGGGATAAAACAGGGAAGGAAAGAAAAAAAAAATCACTTTATTAAAAAAAAATCCTTTACTGGTGTACTGCACAAAAAGAGTGCTGCATACAAAACACACTGCAAACTCCTCTGTATGGATTACATTTTCGGTACATAACACATATAAGTGTTATAATTCATCAGTGACTAGAACAGCGCAATTTCAACTCATGTGTTTGGTGTTTTTTTGTGACTCGCCGCTTGTATAGGAAAACATACCTACTAAATAGAGAGGTAATATACTAACCTTTCTGGTGGCCAATGTCTTGCTCCCTGGTGACTGCAAGTATTCTACACTTAAGGGTGCTGAGAAGACCTGTTCCCCCACCACGTGCTGTGATTTGTTCCTCTGGTTTATATATCATTACAGGATTAGGAACTGGCGGGAGGAACCACAGGATGCAGCAGGTGAAAACAAGTATTTGGCCCACCAAAAGGGTCAAATGCATACAATAGCTGGGAGGGCAGCAAAGCAGTGGATTTTTAAGACATAGCCACCTGAAAGGTAATTATATTCACTATTCTCTTAGCAAGAATAATTTTCTGTACAAGTGATCCTGTGGTAACAGGATCACTTTAAGTTAAAGTTAAGTTAAAGTTACAATATTTTTCTACAATAAATTCTAGAAAACCACACATTATGGAAGGTGGATATTTGCACAATTTAGCATTGTGAACTGCATAGGTTAGCCTGTTATTAAAAGACTGCTTTTTTCTGTTTTTCCTTTCATTTTTTTTTTTTCTTTCAAATTCAGTTTCACTCAACACAATTGTGATGATATAACCTTGGCAAGTCGTGTGCAATGTTACATAACATTGCATTGATCCAAAAAAAAGAAGAAGAAAGTAATACAAAAAAAAACAAAAACTATTTAAATAATGGCAGTGGGTTAAAAAGAACTTTAGACGTTTCTAGGAAACATATGTTATATATAATCGCTGGTTATTTTTGTACTCTCCTTTTAGCCTAATCTCTTGTGCTTGGGCTATATACAATGATTTAATGATTTCTGAGAATGTCTATACCTCCTAAAATTGAGAAGCTGTCATTTAGCCAAGATCTTAATATAATTCTCCTGGCAATAGCTAAAGTAATATGAGCAAATGGCGGCTGATGTTTACACTGAATTCATTCTCTTTGCAGTCCCTAAGACCGCCAAAGTACAAATCAAGGGATTTGAACACATAAGTTGTTGAGTGAGAAAACCATGTACTTGGATCAGAACTTTTCCAGAATTGGACCTCCTGAAAACTATGCATGTTAATTATTATCATACCACACTTAGGACACTTATATTTTAATATACTAAAAACATATAAACATAGTGGAGCAATTTACAATGTTCTTTAAAAGAGATATTTATAAAGCAGTCATGTTCTAGTCACCAAATATTTACAGCAGATACATTTTCCTGGTTCTGGTACATTCACTGATAGTGATTGAACCTCTATTTGTGAATGTTGGTCAAAGTAACATTCAAAGCTTTAAAAATGGGCTAAGTGTTTTAGATTTAGTTATTGATCTATGTTTTTGTGGCCTGTTGAGTTTATTTATTTATTTATTTTTTTTAAAAGGCTCCTTCTCATCTGGGACACAATTAACTTCAGTCTACCAGACAAAAGCTTGGTCAAAAAACTCGACAGAAGGGATTCTATTAATGGATATAAATTATAAATTCTAATAGTCTAAACTATAACTATATACTTCTAACCATTTTTTCTTTAAAAACAAAGGAAGGCAAAAGTTATCCACACTTATGTAAACAGTCCTACAAGCATCTGATCTAGGATAGAGTGTGCAATGTGTCACCCCTCTAAACAGAAGCGTAAACTAAAAATATTAACTGTCTGGTAAAAATCGGTGAAAATCAATATTCACTTAGCAACATTCACTTTATTTAACAAGCATACTCAGTGTACATTTGATAAATAAAAATAATATTCTCTAAACATCTTGCTTGCTGCCCCCTTGCCATAAGGATATCAGCCATCATGAGTACAACAGAGTTCAGGCTGGCAATTTTACCTATAAAAGTATGACATTAACCAACTGTTCAGCAGCTGCCAAATTAGGCTAGTACACACTCACATTATTATAAATAGGGTGAATGTGAGTGAAGAATGGTATCCGAACTGCCTAAAAAGATTAACTGGTTGATTTGTAAATTATACCTTTATATTTCAATGATCACCATATACAACTAGGTGTCTAAAATAACAACTTTACAAACTATACGCTAGCTCAGCATAATAACAAAATTATATCAACATTTACAAATTTTCCAAAATATACCAATAAATGTATCCATCAAAATCTAAAAATACATAGTAACATGGCAAAGATTGTTTGGATTGGTTACAAAATCCCCAGATCACTTACTTACTAGTTGTACTATACCATTAAATCCGTTTAGAATTGTGGTTGGCATGCACATCTCCTGTTGTCCATTCCAACAACTTACCTATTTTTGTGGCCTATTGGTAGTAGATACAAATGTCTGGTGCAGTTGATGCCCAGGCATATCATGGTCATCTAGTGCATAATAATATAATGCCTTAGTGAAAAGCATAGCAATATCCCCAGCTATGTGCAGTAATAATGACTATAGGTGTAAGTCCCTTCTGTGCTAATCTATCCTTGTCAAATTAATAAAAATAGCTGCTCACACAAATTATAATATATACACTCCCACCCAAATTAAGTATTGTAGTAACGGTACATTTAGTTCGGTGTTTAAGCTAGAAACTAAAGGTTTACAGCCAGTCACCTAATAGACTGGAAGCCTGTGGCTTTGTGTCCTGTAGAGAATTCAGGATCACCTTGACCAGTTTGTGTCTAATTTTAATCAGACTGGAAAAGGGTTAAGATCTCTGTAAGTCTCTATTGATATCTGTTGAGATTTCCTGCAATTTCTATTGTGGAAACAAAATGAAGAAGAGAAATAATATCTTCCAGAAGCAAAGGGAAGTCCAACCTTTGGCAGTTGTCATTGAACAGCTGTTCAATTGAAATATTTCCCTTCACTTGATCCAGAGACGAGTGTAAAAAGTTAGATTTCCCATCACTTTCTGTTTCAATGACCTTTATGCCTCCAGCACAGAAAGTTAGAGTAAATCTCATAAGTGTAATCACAGAAAATAATAAATACCTGACAAAGGTTCTACCCCTTTCCTACTCTTTCCACAACTATAAAATAGGTGATGATGTGATGTCTCTTCTCCCAGAGACATTTCCAAAAGCGCAATGCTGGGAGTGAACAAAAGTCAGCCACAGGAGCAGTTCCTGCTAAAAAGAACTGGATGGTAATTTTAGGCAGGGGTGCTACATTCTACCTTGCATACCTGGAATTGTGACATGCCAGACCAGTACTGGGTGAAGGAAGCAGGCCACTGACAGTATGCCATACCCAAGGAACTTCTGAAATCCTCCCATTCGTGCTGTTTTCCGTAAGCATACATACAGACGGGGTTCTGACTGCCATCTAAATTGGAAGAGGCATAGATTTTATTACATTATGTACACAAACAGTAAATTCACATAAAATATGGTTTATATATTACCGAACAAAGACACAGGTATTACCTTATACAGTGCATGAGAAACATGTGTATGAAGAAAACACCTTCACAGAATGACACGGCTGCTGATGAAAACCTGAAGCAGAAATAGATAATGGTTTTATTTAAAAAAAAGTGAAGACTGTAGACTGCATTCATTCATGTCAAGGCTGGAGCTAAAAAATTATGAAAGATAGAAACTGGTGTTTCATGGTGACTGGTCAACTTTAAATGGGAATTTGTCATATATAAAGCATAGGCTAGAGGCTTCAAGGTATTCACGTGTTTCATTCCACAACCAGAAATAAGGCGATGATGGAAGGCAGAGCCGTGTAAATATTTACTATTTGTCCCATTGGCTTACTGTACATCCAAAACTGCGGCTATAAAAAGGTGCTGTGCTAAATAACTTAGAGTTCCTGTTTGAGTAAATGCAAGGTAACATGTCTGTAAGAATGAGCCCTTATGGCCATGTGAGATTAGTGACTCTAATGAATCAACTGGACTAACAAATTACTTCCCCCAATGGAATCATGCCCTTGGTTGCCCAGAATGCTGCAGACTTTGGGGCAGTGAGAATGGGGCAGTGAGAAAGCGACATCTTGCTGATCCAGCTAGTAAAGGAGTGACCTCATAGGAATGGGCTAGCGTTCTGTTATTGATCCTGTCATTAGCAATCTGTCAACAGTGACAGGATTGTTCATCAGTCTTAAGCTGGCAATACAATCTTATATACTGCAGGCTGAAGAAAAAGAAAAATTGGATTCCTCCATCTTTTGTATTCTGATAGTGGTGGGTGTGCCATGCTAATTGCCTGCTGTCACCTTTTGCCCAAAAGTTTTCCATCCAGCTCCTTTGGTTTTGTGATCAAAGGATGCCAGACACAAGTGTACCAACAGGGCCACCCATTGTAAGAACGTTGGTTGGTTCTTGATAAACCAGTTCAAATTCGCAGTGATGGACAGCTTTAAGGAACTGGTCATCTGGAGCTACATTCCTTATCTGTAAGCAAATGGAATTATAGTTTTTTTTTTAATTCACCATTACTTTTGGCTTTAGTTTTGGCTATATCCTTTAGTAGAACTTCATCTAACATGGTTTATCCTGTTTTTAATTGAGTGGTTAAGAGTTAGAACCTCTGTCAGGACTTTATGACATTGCATTATTTAGGTGCAATTCATAAACCTAAAGCCATGATAGGTATACTTATTTGAAAAAGGTGATATTTATTTAGTCCAATGATTCTTGAAAATTGCAGTCACATGACTAAATTAGGGTGCCTTATCCTTGTGTTAAAGCTCTGTGCAATTACAATTATTTATATAGCGCCAACATATTCCGCAGCTGCTGTACAATTATTTAGACACGACAAGTAAGAAACACTGACAAGCATCATTGATATACAGTAGGTGAGGAGGACCCTGCCCAAATAAGCTTACAGCCTTATTTGGGAAATTTCCCCTAAGCTTAGCGTTGTTTTCAAATATGACATGATCCAAATGAATGTCCTTTTATCATAAAAATCTGAGAATGAAAATATGTGTAGTAATTTACAACATTTTAAAGGTTAAACCAACTTAAGGTCATTACCTCATAATAGGCATATTATGAGTTCTAGCTTAGATTAGAAAATATTATACACTATATATTCATATACACACAAACGTGTGTGTGTGTTTTTTGTATGGTAGAAAGTCAATCGTTAAATGAGGTATTCAACTAAATTAACAAACCAATTATACTTTGAAAATATGTATAAAATTACAAATACTGCATAATTCAGACATATTGCATGGTACTGTACACACTAAATACTTACAGTAAATAATAGGCCAGACTTGGAAATTGTCCCTTTTGCAGAGTTTCAATCCCAACACCAATTAGCACTGTAGAATAAAAAAAAGCGGCACATTCAACAGGACTAATATAACTTTACAACAAAACAGAATGGAAAAAGTATTTTTAAAGCTAAACTTAGGGGAAATGTCAAAAGGTACCCTTCCACTGCAAGGTTTAAATGTACATTTGTCTCTAGGGTACCATTAAAATGCAGTGTGTTTTAATGTTATACCCTGGTCTGCATTGTAAGGGTTATGCAATGGTGGTATGCTATTGTATTTAATCGAGACTGCAGTATGTGTACACATTCACACAGGTATGAATTCAGAATATAAGTAGAACTGTCCTTTCAGGATTTGGTTAAGGAATTGTTTTATTTGCAGTCACACTACTGTCACCACAAGCACATGTATAGCACGGTACAAATGTGTTCTTGTGACGGGTGCACAGCTTTTTGTCCCCTTTTCTTCAACCAGAGTGTGTAATGGAGGTCCTTTTCTATGATTAGTGGAAAACTTACATTAAATCGGTACTGTGAGGACTGTAAACTAAGCCTGCCACTTAAGCAACAAGTGGAGTTCTTCTTCTGGGGGTGCACAGGGCAGGGTCCATGTCCCCCCAAAATTTCCTTTGTGATCAAATACACAAAGTCTTTTTTCAGACTAGTGTTTACAGAACAAAGGTTGCCCTGAACAGACACTGGCTATGTTCCAATTGTTTCAGCAAGAGCTGGTTGTGAAGCAATATTTGATATTCAGTAAAAATTAAGCAACCTGAAGGGACATATCTGGGTGTCTCATTGATTCAGTGATGCTATAAAAGTGTGTTTAAAGTGGAACTGAATTCCCCTATATGTGCCTCTTCTCCAGCAATGCAAGCTTCCTTGTCAGTGCATCCATTTTTACTTGGTCTGCTTTCATGTTTGGCATCTACAGCCATTTTGGTTGGCTTGCTCTAGATGACATAACTCCCAAGCATGTGCACAGCAGTTAATTAATCCCTCAATAAGTACTATCCTTGTCGCACTCCTTACCGATATGTCCCTTGTAGTGGGGGGTGCTTGCAGTGACTGCGGATGGCGTGGCGAATGTCAGCCAAATTGTAGAAATGTCACCGCACACCAGTCCTTTTAGGATAGTAAAAGCTTCATTTATTGAACCAACAAGCGCTTTCGGGACCGCACAGGGTCCATTCATCAGGCTTTAGCATTGACCTGGTGTTGATGGGCTTTTAACTTGTGTTGATGGCATTAGCTTGACATCAGTTTAACAAGTGTAGCCATTATATACTTATATGTATGTGCTACTATAGAGATGTGAATTCTAACTGTGAAGAGTTAATTGACTCTGTGTGTGTGAAGAGGGGTGGAGAACTGTGGGGATTGTAGTACGTTGGGATATGGATATCTGAGTGAAAAGACTGTGGAAGAGGAGACAGGAGGACTATGGGTTGCAGCTACTGAGCGGGCAGTCTGGGATCGGGATCTAATGTGTTCGGATCGATGTGACAGAGTGTGCGTTAAGACTGCTTGTAATAGAGGTGTGTGGTCATCTCTGACACAGGGACACCCGGACTCTGTAACGCGGTGCTGTAGAGACGGAAGAGACGGTGACTGAGCGCCTGGATTGAGGCCTAGGGACGCGGCAGCGGCGAGGATATTGCGGCCTGGACGTGCGGACGATCCAGCCACTGGAGTGACCCGGTCAGCCCGGCTGAGGGAGCAGAAGTGAACGGAGCCAGCAGTGATCGTATCTGAGACCCTGATGACCTTAGATGAGCGGGTAAGTGTTCCAGGAGTCCATAGATGACTTCTTCTTTCTCTTAAGTGTTGTTCTGTCGGAAGAGGGACTTCCATCTGCTGTTGAAAGACATCTCCTTTCCAAGATAACCTGGGGAGTGGTGAGAGGCCTTTGGGCCAATGTGACAATGTACCTTTATGCATCTGCTACACAGTATGGGCCCCAACGTTGGCTAGCCTAGGACATTACTACTGGCCAGTAGTCTAGAGGGGGTGTGATACTTCCTAGGAGAGATATCTGTTGAATTTCTCTGTCTCAAGACTTACCCCTGAGACAGTCTGGCATCATTGGTTTCTGCATAGGCAATAGACAGCCGCGGTTACTGACTGTCAGAGTGCCATAGCCTGTCATTTATTGCATTGTATGTGACTGGTAAACCATTAACCTCCCTGGCGGTATGATTATTCAGGATTTTAGCATCCCAAAGCGGTACATTGTTTTTCATGGAAATTTGTTGTTTTATATTGTAGGCCTGTAATTCTTAGTAAATCTTAGGAATAACTCACCTAAATCTGTCCAAACAAGAGTCCAGTAGACATCCCAGGTATGATAACATTTGAAACACGAAATATTTATAATTGTGAAAAAGTGTCAGGCAGGGCACTGGACAAAGCTCTAGGGACAAAATTGAAGTCAAATAGTTTGATACATAAGTGTAATCATAGCAGATTACATTGTATTCTGTATTCTTGCAACTTTTCACTTTTGAATTTCCCGCCGGCTGTGACGCCAGAAAACAAAACTAAAAGTCAGATGCCGGCATCTGACTTTTAGTTTCGTTTTCGGGCCGCGTACAGCAGAGGATGCTGCGGGCTGGCAGGGACAAGGTAAGTGACACTTTGTGTATTCCCGAGTTACCGCTCCTGGTATTGAAAATTAACCCCGAGCCAGACTCGGGAATACCGCCAGGGAGGTTAATAGTATTACTCTGCATTGGTCAACCATTAAATCCTTTACAAAGCTCATTAAAGGTGTGTTGGTGTGCTGTGGATCCACCATTGGGCGGTACATTGGTGCAGGGGGACAGAAAAACCCCTTACAACGAGTGGCTCCTGCGGGGGTAGCTCTACACAAGCTGCTGAGATAATTTAGCATTTCATGATAGGAGCTCCTACTGATCTGAAATTGACCTGCTTCAAGCGAGTTTTACATTCTTATAGATTTGTATGGGAATGCAAATTCAATCAAAAAAATGAAGTGAACAAAAGGCCCTAAAAGACATCTAGAGTCATGTAGACATCAGTTGGTAATGCCAGATGATGTTTGCAGGGACTGAAGCCTAGACCCTGACACCCCGCTCCAAGAGCCCATTAAGCATTGTAGAGAAAGTTGGGACACTGGCTAATTATGCACCGTTACTGATGTCGTCTCCTGCAATGTAAGTGTGAACTGTACTGAGACTGAGAAAATGTCAGAAGATGTTACTATTCTAAAACAGTTACGTTAGAGTGTTCTCATACTTCACTTATGCCATCTTCTGGGCTTGGCCTTGAGAGGTCACCTGCCATTCCCCTTACATGCTTAATTAATAGGTTATATTAAAGTACAGAGATGCTGATAGATAACTTTTGGTTATGTGTTTTAAATAGC